CCGCGTTCCCCCCGTGCGGGGCTGGGCGCCAGGGCCGACGCCGGAGGGCTCGGGCAGGCGTTGCCCGGGTGGCTTGAGAATAAGTGGGAAACAGCGCTGTGATCTGTTGGACAAACATAATTTTTGTTGTTAGGAAAAAAAACTCAGTAATAAGTTAGGGATACCAGGCAGAAACTGTCCTGAGACTAGGGGGCCTCGGGAATCTTTGTTTTATGAATCCTCACGTGAGGGGAAGTGGAGGGGGGAGAGGAGAGACAGACAGACAGACGGACGGACGGACAGTGATCGGCCGCCGCCCACAGGGCGCTGGGCCGGGGGCGGGACCTGCAGCGCTGCCCGTCTCGGCCCAAATCGAACCCGTGACCCGCGGAGCCTCGCCGCCAGGGCTCAGTGAGGACGCGCGGGGCTCGTCTTCGGGCAGAAGGCTGAGGGGGAAAAGCAAAAGCAACCGCCGCCGACTCGGGGATAAACTCGTCCAGTCACCCGGACGGACGGCGCCGCGCAGGGTACGTTCGTGTCCGGAGAAAGGAACCAGTTTCCCCGGCCCTTCCCCCCGCCGCGGCCCCGGCGCCCTCAGCGGACGGTCCGGCGGGGCCGACGCGGGGCCAGCGCCCCGACGAACTGCCGCTCCAGCTGCGCGGCAACCGGGGTGGGACGTCTCCATCCGTGCGGGCTCTCCACGCGGGCTGTGGTGCTCACCTAACCGCTGCTGCTTTAACAACTGTATTGTTCTGTCGTCAATGAAAAGACGGCATGCATTTCAAAGCTGTTCCAAAGGTAAGTCTCCTCTCGCTCTGAAACAGCGGCATCTGCCCGAGCGGGCTCTCCCCGCCATTCCGCTTCTCGCCCTCGCTCGCCGCAGCCCGCGCCCGGCGTCGCGGTTCCCGGTTTCCGGGGGGCTGGCCGCGCTGGGGGGTCCGGGGAAGCGGCTCCCAGTTGTGCGTCCTGGGGTGAAACCCGGGGCCGGGAGCGGGGTGTCGGCACAGTGAGGCACCGCGGTGAGGAACCGAGCCGGGCTCCCGCCCGCTGGCGCCTCACCGCAGCAGGTCGCGCTGAGAACCAAGCCCGGGGCA